CATATCTTGTCTGACATCTTTGCTACAAACTCGGGTCTTCAACTCGGGCTTTCAATTGAAGGCTCGTCTTCGGCTCGCCTTCGGCTCGTGCTATAAACCCCCCACGAGCCGGAAAACACTTTTCCCACGAGTATCGAACAATTTTTTTCATCACAATGAGTGGAAAAGGGACTTTTAGGCACGAGGAGCGTGCCTTGAAAAGTCAGTTTTCCACACAGCGTGATGAAAAAATTTTTTTTTCACCCAGGGCCAAAGTGTCATATCTTGGATTTTTTCGAAGGAAGAGTCGACTTTCCCTCTGAAAAAATCCTAAATCTGACACCCGGGCCGTAGGTGAAAATGAAAATTTTTTATTTCGACATTTCTGGCACCTCCGAGTCTGCGCAAAAAATTCGCCACAAAATTGATGATTATCGTACAAAAGATCTTCGTCATTTTTAAATACACCGTACAAAGTCTTTCTTTCTCTAATAGCTCATTTACTTCTCCACTGGCTGATTCAACTTATTATATTCTACTGCTCGATTGCCAGCTCGATTTAGATAGTAATTCCACTTGTAATGAGCATAATCCCGCCATCCTTCACCGCGCTGCTGCACTAAAAATGTCGACTGGTAAGATTTTTACTGAAGTTATCTTCAATACCGTGCCCTCTTTAACCACCTGATCAGAATTTGCCGATCCGGGAATGTGTCTATAAATTTCCGTGCCCATCTGTTCCACCGCCTTCCGTAGTGACGCCATTTTCCTTAGAACGTGTCCAAAGCGTAATGTGTTCATCTGAAATTGTACAAATGATCCCCCTCTCCTTTAGGCTGCTCCGAAACGAATATTGTTTACAGTATCTACTGGTGAACAGGTTCACCTCAGTTCCAACTGGAGTACAATTACCACCTGATGGTAAGCCAGCACATGTTGTTTTGATTTCAAGATCATTGACCATCATCCACGTTTAAATCAAATTAGAGACTTCTGATCAAAAACTTGTTTAAAAATTACCAAGAGTAGTTAACACCAGTCTTAACATAATAATCTTTTCAATGAAAACCAGATGATTCGATCAAAAAAATATATATTTATTATGTTCTAATACAGGATTAATATAAAAAATCAATAGAATAATTCTCCATTACATTCAACACACAATCCACAACACAATATTCAACATCAACGAAACTTTATACAAAACTCAATTTCGTATTTCATCCAAATTCAATAGTGAAGTGATGAAGCACAATGTTCTTCTCGTCAAAAATATCAAACCGACTCACCACTTCCCTACGGAATCAATCAGAAACGAGCATTCCACAAATCAACAGCTTCTCAATAAAATTACCAGGAGTACTGAGCCCCGAGCCCTTTGAAACTAGCATGAGAGACCCCATGTCCGGCGTATTCGTAAGGAGGTGCAGAGTATGACTTTGCTGGAGCCAGTGCACCATATGTCTTGGGTGCGGGGGTAGTTTCCGCATAACCGTGATAAGCTTGTGCTTCGTAAGCCTTGGCAGGAGCACTTTCATCATAGCTGTGATAAGCTTGCGCCTCGTACTTTTTGGCAGGAGCACTTTCAGCATAACTATGATAAGCTTGCGCCTCGTATGTCTTGGGGGCTGGAGTCTCGGAGTAGGTGTGATAAGCACCTGCAGCTGGAGTCTCGAGGGCCTCATCATAGGTGTGATAAGCCGATGGCGTGTAAACCTTCATTGGTGCAACCTCGGCATGACTGTGATAAGCCGCTGTTGAGTAAGCCTTCATCGTAGCAGCCTTGGTTGGGGCTGTGTAAGATTTGACGGGTGCAGGTTGCACATAGCTGTGATAAGCGGGTGCAGCATAAGCCTTCATCGGAGCAGCCTCAGCGTAAGTGTAATAGGCAGGTGCGGAGTGACCCTTCACTGGAGAGGGCTTAGGATAAGTGTAGTAAGTTGGCGCGGAGTAAGACTTGGCAGCGACTGGTGCTTCGTAGTTGTGGTAGCTAGGGCTGGCGTAGGTTTTGGCCTCCATCGGAGCAGAGTGAACGTAGGATGGCTGGGCAGAGTGGCTGTAGTACTGGGTGTCGTGGTTGACACGCTCGTTTGTCACGTGGACGGAGGCATGTGGCGACTTGACAGCGCTGTTGTATCTTGTCGAGCCGGTCTTGCCTCCAGCACCCTTCTGTGTTGATTCCTGGGAGTATCCCACGCTCTTGTGGTCAGCTGATGCTGTCTCGATGTTGTAGGAGGCCGGACCGTCGGCGTTGGCAATCGCCACCAAAGCGGCAAGGATGATGAACTGGGGGTAACAGATTGGGGATTAACTAGTGATGTCGTGAGACATCACGAGACAATACTTTGGAGCGATTGTCTCGGTCTCAGTGAAAACGGAAATTTTTTATCTCGTCTCAGTTTTAAAATACGCAGTATCGGCTCCTCTCGTGATGACTCCGGGTCGATTTATCTCACCTGGGTTTCCAGTTTTTCACGTTCTTTATATGTAGAACACCGAGACGAAAACCACATTTTAGATTAAAAAACACGAAAAACTTGAGACCGAGATGAGATAAATTGACTCAGAGTCATCATGAGAGGAGTCAATACTACGTATTTCGAGATTGAGACGAGAACACAGATTTCCATGTTCTCTGAGACCGAGATCATCTCTCCAAAGTTTTGTCTCGTAAGGGGTTTCGCGGCATCACTAGGATTAACAGATTGCGAGTTTGAGAAGATATCGACTGATTTTAATCATCGAATTAACGACAAATCTAGGTCAAATTTATCAAATGAACTTTGAATTGCAGTGAACGAATGCTAAGTACTCCTGTAACTCTCATGTCTTTTGTGACAATTGTTTGAATTTGTACGATACTCACTTTGAAAGCCATTTCTGATAGCCTGAATTGATACTTTGCCAGGACGAGCTTGTTGAGTTCTGTGACATCGAGAGATTCGAATCGTTATTTATATCTGGACCGAGATTTGGGGAATGGGGAATATCACCTAGCTTGTCTCACTGATTCGTCTGTATTCATTCTCTCTGAAGGAGGAGAAAAGTGTCTCTTTCCACAATCGCCCCAGTAAATCTCCAATGGTGTGTCTGATATATAAATTAAGTAGGCGGAAAGAAAGAGTAAATACGGCCAAATGCAAACGGATTCTCGGTGATTGCGACAACTGTTTTCTTGAAAAAGGAAAGGGGAAGAGTTTTGTAAGACAGTTTGGGGCGTGGCGGGCAGGCTTGTAGGGGAGCGAACTACATGGAGCGCAAAATTTTGGGATTGATTGCCTGAGAACGGAGTGAGGGATTGAAACCACACATTCATTAATTCATTCATTTGATAGATTTACAAACATTTCCGGAAATTCTTCATCATCGTGGGCATTCAGAAATAACGAAGACAAAGCGGAAAAACTCTTCTTTTTGATGAGAAGATTAACAATCAAAATCTAGTGCTTTTTCTTTTAATTTTGCTCGATTACAAAAATATTACATTAGGACTTGAAAAATCGTTTATTTGATTCTAGTAGAAGACACGTTTTGGAATGACAAAACTAATAGAAATCTTCTAATAGGACTTCTAATAGAAATCCTTCTGTTGGATTTCTTTAGCGAAAACATTTCTATTGGACATTTTCTGTAGAAAAGTAATGGAACTTTGAATAAAATTTCAATAGTTTTCTGTTGAATTTCCTAGGTTTTTCTATTAGAATTTTCGAGTTGTTGAATCCGAGTGAAAACCGGAACCAACCGCAACGTCATATCCCAATAAGATATCACTATTCGACCTATGCGACAATTATAGAGCAGTCTATCAAGGTCGTACTTTCTCCGAAATACCTGCCTCGATAGCCGGGCCAATTGGGGCATACGTGGTTCAGACATTACATATCCAATCGGATTAACATGAGAAAGTGTCTTATTGATTGTGTTGATTAAGTACCTATCATTTCTAGCTATCAGTCTCTCAATCTCCCTTGTATTCCAATGGTAATCGAAAATCCAGACGCATTCCAATATTTTCAATGAATTTTATTAATCAAAGGTACAGTGTATGGCTGAATAAATAATAAGCCTGCTGTTGCGGACAAGCTCATGAATATTTCCAATCAGAAATCGAATTTGTATCCATTCCCAGTGACTTTAACATGTGCAACGGATGGAGCTGATGAATAGGCTACACCAAGTAAATTCTGGGTTTCTTGGGGGCGTTGGGATGCAGCTTGCTCAGGAATCTGTGAAGTTGGAATAAATTGGGTGATTAAAGAGGCAATGAAAGTGTGGAAATTAGTGTCTTCAACACGTTTTCAAATTTTTTTTCCGTGTAAAAACAAAACGTGTGATAACAAAATATTTTCATAATGTCTTGAAATACAAGTCACCAAATTTAAGACGTTTTTGGTGACTTGACCATTTTCTTCCAATTTGGTGAAGTTTAGAATTTATTGAGAGATTAGAAGGGCGTAAAACTTTGAGGATATCCAAGTAACTTGTACAGAAAATGCTCGTAATTTTTAAAAATTATAATTTTTAAATTACTTCATCAATCGTTCTCTGCAATTAAAGTTTCTCATTTGTTCAGATTTTTAAACTGATTTCCACCGGTTAAATATTGAAATTGATATTCCGACCTGCAAAGTTTAAATAATAAAATCATTGCAAAATTTCCGGAAACTTCAACTATCCTTAAACTTAAACTACAAAAGTTTTCACTGGAGTAAACTCCAGTGACAAACATTTCACTGGAGAAAAAATATTCACAGTACTTGGATATCGTTAACGTCAAAATAATAAATTGATTACTGGAATCTACGACTAGATCTCCCGAATTTAAGATTCCGTAAGCAATACCATCACCTGCTGGTTCTGCAGTGTCGCTTGACCCTGCGACTGCAGTTGAAGTAATTGCGCTTGGCGTTGGGCCAACAGCTGATTCAGCTGCGCCTGATACGCCTCAGATTGAGTTTGCAAGTGGGAATTCTGGGAAAATTGTTGAGCCTGATAGTAAGCTAGTGTTGCCGGATCCAATTGTGATTGTTGATAAGGCAAAAACTGTGGGGGGGCTTGTTGAGAAATCGTCGGCACGTAGGGCGATGATGCGTATGCGGAAGATACGGGTGATGTTGGGAAATAACCTGTAACGAAGAAGGGGATTCCCGTCAGATACAGAATGAGGGAGTGTTCGGTCTCAATCATCACAGATGAATTTGATTATTTCACTTGATGAGCCTTGGAGATAATGGATAGATCAACCCGAATTACCGAGTCCTGGATTTCTGTATGCCAGTGCTTGCGCAACATTTGGAAAAACCTTCTGTGCAAGGTGTGGATTCCCGATGCTCGAGCTGAATGCCTGATGAGAGCTCGGTCCATTGAAGGAATAAGAAGTTTGGGTTAATCCTGGACGAATAAAACTGAAGGACGCGTGCTGCTCAGCACCACCGAGAAAGTTGGAAGGTTTTATACCGTTAACGGCCGCTTCGGATGACGCTAATCCACACATCAGTCCAACAGACATCAGATAAACCTGGGGAACAGAATGAATCGGGTTGCAGGAGTTATACATACACTGGAAACACTGGGGTCTTTAAGACGTCTTCATTTAAGGAATTTTTCACTGGCCATTTATGATGGCGGCACTACGACGAGACATTAATCCCATTAAGACATGGAATCATAAGACAATTTATTTATTGAAGTCAGGAATTCATTTATTGAAGTCATCAATCTATTGAGAGGGTTGAAAAAGTGATAAAAGTACAAGTTTTATTTCAATTAGAACCCATAGTATTTGGGAAGACAAATAAGACATAAGTTTGAAACAAAAGATCCTCGAGTTAGATATCTGAAATACATGTACAAAGGGGCCAAAAGTGTCTAAGGATGTTTAGCCAGCGTCGGTAAATTGTCGGTAAATGTGTTTTTTTTTTCATGGTCAAGAAAAATTCTGTAATTTTTTCGGCTGATAGCAGAACATGTAAAACTAACTTTTCTAACGCTAAAAAAAAGTAATCGCAATAGTTTCGGCAGAAATGAATAAACTAATTTTTCCTTATACACGTTCTCTCATGAAATTTATGTTCAAATTGATAATTCACCTACTACAAGACTAGAAATAGAAGGTAATTTGTAAAATCATACTGAATCCAATGACCAGAGGAAAATCTGGGGTGCCCGGGCAAAAAGAGGAAATATTTGAATGATTCCATCCCATATAAGCGCATGTTATCGCATGTATTTGGTGCATTTTGTCTATTTCATTGCTAAATAATAAACGCGGGTTGCTGGATTGAAATTTGTATGAAAGTGGAGGGAATATCTTCATCTCTCAGTTTATAAAAAATCAAATTTTTTCAAGTACTTGTGATTTGGGATAAACATTCTTAATTTCTGACACTAGTTTTTCTTGTGGTTTCTAAAGCAATAAGAAAAAAAAATCCAGATTCTCTGAATGGGCACTTGAAAAATTATGAAAACTCACCAGCATGGTAACAACATTTCCTTCGTCCTTGAACAAAATATTGATGATAAAAATTGTGAACCAAGGCTTTTTTTTCAAGTATACAACCCAAAACCCTCCCACAGTATTTGGGAAGACAATTTGAGACCCAAGTTTTAAACAAAAGATCCTCGAATAGATACCTCAAATACATGTCTAATTGTCTTAAATTCAGGAACACACGGCTTAACAATCTAAACAAACGTCTTAAGAAAGGGCGGCCAAAACTGTCTTAATTTCAGACGTTAGTTTTTCTTGTGGTTTTAAAAACAATAAAAAAAGGCATGGAAAAAAATAATTCCAAATGGTTTGGATGTGCAATCAAAAAATTATGAAAACTCACCAGCATGGTGACAACACTTTTTTCCTCCTTGAACCAAATATCGATGATGTGAATTGTGGCTCGTGGCTTTTGGCACGAGTGAAAATCAAGTTGGTAATCTAACGTCAGCCGAGTTCGTGAGGATTATATACCGCGGAAGCATTGGATACAAATACGTGATGTGCATATCATATATTACTTATCCCTGAAGACACTTTCCCCTCCAGCCAAAGACGCTGCCCGACAAACTGAGCATCATAATCGCGCCCCGGCGGTTCGTAGGCCCGGGCGAAAGCATTTCGCGTTACAACCTTTTTAAATTGAGGGATACGCAGTATGAATAAATTCGTCCCTCCGCTATTTTCCTTTTTCTCTTTGAATAGGAGTAGGGTCCTTCAGAAATCTGGGTATATTAGTTTTCCATATATTTTTTCTCGTTTTTTTTTCGCACTGCGGGCATTTTCTATTCGTCTCACCGCGTGAAAATAAAGAATAGGTACTTTCGGGGTAATTAAATTAAGTGGAAGGTGATTAATGGAGAGGGGGGGGGGGCGGTTCAGCAGTTCAATATCGTATGGCTGGCAAATGCGACCCGGGGCTAATTGTGGCCGACGAAATCGATGGAGGGAGAATATATGGGGCGCTTTTAATTCGTGAATATCTGCAGTTTCCTATCATCGATAAAACCTATTAGGCATTCAGACGGTTTTCCCGGATTGTTCGATATTTATGGGCATCGGTGTGGATATCTCCCTCGGTGGAAATATTTATTTGGGTTGGCATCGATGGACATTGCGATATTGACTGCTGTTGTATCAAATGTCTACTATTTACTTGAGAACATTTCTGATATAATGAATCAGTCAAGAAAATTACATATTAAGAAAATTGAATGAAATTAAAAAATTTAATGTTAAATAATTATAATATGAATTATAATTATTTAAGATTCAAATGTTAAATAATGTTATTTTAAAAATACACTAGAAAAACTAGTCTTTCAAATTAAAACATTAAGACTTGCATTCTAGATAGTCTAAGTGTCTTACTCGAGACATTTTGGGTCAAACTTATCAGGAAAATGATAACATAATTCTTGGGATCAAAAATACTGATGAAATGTATTTCTTCTTAAAATAATGTTTAAGGTTTTTATGCCCTTCTGATCTTGCAATGACACTATATTTTAATTCATTTGACATTTCATTTTTGCATCTAATGTCTTAAATTAAGACGCCTTCAAAACACTAGTCCATTTTATCTTATCGTCCCACATATTTATGCTTTTTCTATCCATCTTGGAATGCACCGTTGAAAAATTTGGTTCAAATTTTCCGGGAAAAGACCTTGAGTTTGATTTAAGGGTAAAAAGTCAATGGAATTTCAATATTCTCTGAAAATTCGAGGGAAATTCCATTGTTTTAGCAGCAGGAAGACAGAAATTCCACCATTTACATGAATTTTCAGGGAATTCCTTTAAAGTTCTTGGAATTCCTGCAATTTGTGGAGGAATTCCCTCAAAATTCAGGGAAACTGGAATTCAAGGGGAGATTTCTCTGAATTTCCCTGGGTTTTCATTAATTTTCCCCGAATAATTAAACTAAAATTTACAGTTTCCTCTGATTTTTCCATGAAGTTATAAATTTTCAATGACAAAATTCGTCAAAATTTCAGTGGAAAAATTTTAGCAGTCTATATGTAGAGCTCATTCATGTCATCACCTCTTAGTACCTGATTATGTGTTAATTCATATGTTGTGAAGACTGATAACCCACTATTATATGGTATGATGCAGTAATTTCTCACGCCCGCACAAATCAATTGGATTTATGCGTCGAAACCACAGGGTTGTTTGATAGGGGAAATGAGCTGGGCTGCAGGGGTGGAAGGAGTTGAGAATGAAGATGGGGTGAGTGATAGTAACGAGTGATACTGGTGAGTTTCAAGAGGTAATGTGTATTGCCACTGGAGGCGATATCACGAGTCAAGGTATTCCGATTTGGACAAAAGGCTGAGACAATATAGGGTGGGACTTTGATAACGTTATTCACACGATCATTTCCATGTAACCCATGTCATCCTATATCCAGAGAAATGATGCGTTCGAATCGAATAAAACAGTTTCATTGAAATTTCTCCATTCGTTTCAACGATTTTTGTGGTGGAAACAAATAAAGTTCATTTATTTCAATGAAAATGTTTCAATTATTTGACATGAATAATTCATTTATTCCAAATGGATTATTACTTCATGTTTATAAATTCGTTTTCTGACATTTGTTGATATTTCAAAAATTATTCAATTGATTCAGATCGATTTATTTAATTCAGATAAGTCATTCTTTGGGACATTATTAATTGAACAATTAACATGGTTTGATTTCAAAACATTGACATGAAAAAAATGAAGTTAATATTTAAAAAGTCTGAACGAGCATTCGAAGTCAAAAGCATAAATCACATTAATAATTTCGATATTACATTATGATGATAATTAATATTGCTAATATCAATTAACCCTAGACTGGTCACCATGCGAGGGAATTGCCGCAACACGTCGTTTTATTCACCTTGCCATCGACTGGTTGACCGGAAAAATTTGAGAAAAATTGAATTCGTCAATTGAAGTACCTGGAAAATTCTAGTATTTTTTTTCAATATTGTATCCTTAATTCTGGGAGAAAAAAAATTATTTCCAACAGGTGAACAATTTTTTCCCGTGTTAAATGAAATTGCCTGTTGCGCGACATTGCTGGGAAGTCGCTAAACGCACCCGGGAAGTGTAGAGTGGATTCGGCAACGGTGGAGCCTAAATAACACGGCGGCACTCTCCCGCGAAGGTGACTAAAGTCACATTTTCCCGTCAGGTGACCTGACTAGGGTTAATGCTGCCATGATAATTAATATTGGGAGCGCTGAAAGGACAGTTATTCAGAAGTACAGGCGTTCCATACTGTCAAATGGTATCTACTTCTAATTAATTACACATGAATGTCGATCGAGGGAAACAGGAGTTCAAGAGAATGTCAAATCCGACTTTGAATTTTTGGGAATTCGTTTCAAAACGACTCTCTATGACCCGCTAGCATGTCATTAATAACTCGGAGTAAAAGTTGATATTTGTTTGATTTTTGAAAGCGTTGTGAAACCGAAACGACCGAATTCGATTATATGTCACGTAATTTGTTCCTTTGTGAGTGGAATACAATGTTTTTATTTTTATAGAATGGTTATGGCTGCAATTTACAGAATAATATTAAATGCAACTGAATCATATGGATTGACAATCATAAAAGAAGAATCAACAAGAGAAAATAATTATATTTTATTTATAATTATCTATGCAGGGGATTAATAGGTTTTGGTTTTCACAGGCAGGGAAATAATTTCTACTTCCAATTAATTAAAATAAAATTTCAATGATTAAACGAAGCAGTGGGAGTTCAATAGAAAATAAAACCCAATATTGCATTTTCGAACATTGATGCGACATGGCCTGGATATCAGAAATAACTCTGATTGAAAAATGCCATCTGTTTGATTATCCACCTCCAAATGGCTCTGAAATTCCGGTATTTATTAAATTATCCACTGATAATATCGATGAAAAATTCCGCAACATATTCACGTGAATTAATTTTTTTTTAATTTTCAATTAACAATTCCCATCGATTCAATGATACCCTGTGGTATCAAATAATCTCAACTTCTAATTAATTAAAATACCATTCCAAAGATTAAACGAAGCAGTGGGAGTTCAATAGAGAATAAAACCCAATATTGAGTTTTCGAACATTGATGCGACATGACCTGGATATCAGAAATAACTCGGATTGAAAAATGACATCTGTTTGATTATCCAGTTCCCAATGGCTCTGAAATTCCGGTATTTATCAAATTATCCACTGATAATATCGATGAAACATTTCGCAACATATTCACGTAAATTAATATTTTTTTAAATTCTCAATTAACATTTCCCATCGATTAAATGTTACCCTGTGGTATCAAATAATCTCAACTTCTAAGTAATTAAAATACCATTCCAAAGATTAAACGAAGCAGTGGGAGTTCAATACAAAAACTCAACTCAACTTGAACTCAATATTGCGTTTTCGAACATTGATGTGACATGATTTGGATATCAGGAATAACTCGGAATGAACAATGACATCTGTTTGATTCCAGCTTCCAATGGCTCTGACATTGCGGTATTTATTGAAATATCCATTGAGAATGATAATAAAAAATTCTCGAGGTTATTCTCGCGAAGTAATACCTTTTCCAAAATGCATTACCTCCCGTAACAACTTAAACCGGAAAAATAGAGGTTCAATAATGACTCCAAGACATACGAGACACGAAATTTCCATTCCATTTGAATATCGAGGAACCTTGAAAAGAAATGGAAACGATCCTTAATCATTTGCAAACCATCCAGTTCTCTCCTCCGTATTCGCCCATAAACCCTCATAGTCAATGTAAACGAGGCAATTCAGTGGGCGCTATTTTTCATTATGTTGCACTCGGTGCAGCTACAATTCTCCGCAACATTGGCCTCTTTTCAGTTGGCTAATATGTAACAGGAAGATTGCATCGGAGGTGATTGGATGTACCAGCGAGGAGGGATATCGAAAAAATTAATTTTTACCATTTAGTTTTTCCAATTCTCTTTATTATTATATACAAATTCACTGACAATTATCGGCTTCGATGGATGGCTATTCTATGTGCTTAGTTTCGTTGCATAACAATGCGGATTTGAAAATAGTGTATGTGATATTCGAGGCGAACAGTCGATCAATATGTTTGCATTCCATCAATTGCATACCAAAATATTCGTTATGTTTTATCATTAGAGTTATCATAGTTGAGGGGGAAAAATAGAATATAGTACGTGAGATCCATATTTTTTAGTTCATTGGGACGGCAGGGGGGTTACCTCACAGCAGAAATAAATGATGTTCGTAAAGAGTCACAAGAAGCCTCAGAAGGGTCGTAAGGGTCAGCCATCGCGGGAGAACTTTATTCATCTCATGATTTTTGAGACTTATTTGATTTTCGTGGGTGTTGTTATGACCCTTATGAGGTTTCGCATGACCTTCATGCGGCCCTTGTAACCCTTACAAACCTTACAACACGTACTTCGCAACATTGAAAGCCCAGAAACTCTCACTTTGTCGTAGAGTAATCATGTTCAAGTTATGAACCTGAACTGAAGAAATGAATTTTGTGATATTAGGTCGTTTTCCAGTTTTTCCTATAGCAAGTGATGAGTAACCCCTCTGCTCTCACCCAAACACTCCAATGACACTTTAATAATACAGATAGAAATTTCACAATAGTTGTGCTGATATTAACCACCTTATTGTCATGCAAGACATCAATTCACAGCGAGTATCTTATTAAAAAAAAATCTCCGATGTAGTCACCACTTCCCATCGTCAAAAACAAATCATTCTACGGGGATAATCCCCATGAATATTTCCTATGAATATATAAAAACTCTAAACAAATCCCATTCCATCCCTCCAATCTCTCTAGCGCCACTGTATACCTGACAACGGAGTAACTTAATTATCTCACAACTTCTCCACTTATCGAGCTTACTCATAATTACACCAAGTGATTAACCGATTTAGTCTAATAACCAACAGTTTTCTAAGTAACTTGTGAGTTTTCTATTTAGAAGCTACTTTCCTCCTCAGACTAGACACATTAATCTCCCGCAAATTATCTTCATTGTGAATTGAGTCATGAATTCTTTTTGCGCTCTGTTTAAGCCAAAATCACCAAGACGTTCTCGCAGTCTAGCGAGAGTGGTCTCTCCAATTTTCTGTCAAAGGAAATTTCGTCTTTATCTTCAACTCTCACGGATGGGTCTTTTTCGGGCCACAATTTTCGACACATGTCCTCCGTGACGACGATACATTACGGGCGAGAATGGAGCGCCAGCCGGTAATACAGGGGATGTGAAAAAAATATCTGAGTGTCGTGGGGGTGGATTGGGCCGAGCTCTCAGTGCAATCTCAGTGGAGGAGGGAAATCCATTCCCTCAAGATGTTCCATTAGATTTGTTATTCACGAGATACACTTTGTTTTGCGGGAATTCATTCTGCCCACGGGTTTGCCGTGGGATGGTCCGTGGATTAATTAAGAAGGAGGTGCACTCCTACGATTCAAGTGAATCTTTTGTCGTGAGTTTGTCAAATTAACTCGATTATACGATTGTCACGGAATTTAATGCCATTTTTCATTCAAGAGATTATTAAAATTATTTCAATGAGAGAAAAAATTATACTCCCCTGAAGAGATCTTTTGTCGTGTTGAATCAATTTACTTGTGGACAAAACAGAAACTACAGAGAATTATTTTTGCGAAAGATATTAAACTTCTTTCTAGCCACGTAAAAAAAATTTAATAGAAGACCTTAACGAATTCGCTACACAATTTTATTGAAATTCTCTAGGAATTTTATGGGAATATATGATTTTATTAAAGCTCTAGAGAATTCTCGGTAAAATTCTGTTTGTTTTTTGCGCAGATTCTATTAGATATTTGATAGGAAAAAGTCAATAGATTTTGATTTTTCTGTTTGGATTTTGATCTTGAGATTTTTTCTATTAAAATTATTGGGTACATTTTGTTTTGTTTTGCATTGCAGGATCCGAGTGAAAAAAACTTTTAAAAATCATGCCCAAGTATTCTTATAGTAAAAATTCCATGAGAAAACTCATATAGAAAAATCGAAATTTATTGATTTTTTCCCATGAAATATCTCATAGAATCAGCGCAAAAAACAAATAGAATTTTAATGAGAATTCCCTAGAATTTGAAGGAATCTCAATGGAATTTTCTATCGAATTCTTCAAGTTTTTCTATTGAATTTTTTTATACGTGTCAAGTTGATTAATTTCTCTCAAGTACTTCCCCTCAAGCAAATTTTTTCTCTCGAGTGAGTCATCTGATTTTAATGATTTCGTTCGTCTTCCATGCAACTCCAAATTGATTTAATCAAAGATTGGCACAATGACGTCAAAATAAACAGAATAAAGGGCCAAATCGTGCGGATCAATATAATTTAGAATTGATGTCATCAACAATTATCCAATAATTCGAGAATGAAAAGCTCCAAGGAAAACGTACAATCTCCCACTCCCTCAACGTACCGGACTCATCCGATGCGCATTGTTGATGAGATCCGGACGTTGAAGACTCGAATTGCCTCGGGTATATTCGTCACTCCCGTTGCTTCCGCTCAAACTACCGGCTCGTGCTTGAGGGGTGTATGCAACGTTCGCAAGGCCACCCTCGTGGCGACTACTGTGACGCAAACCCTTCTCCAGTACCGGTTGCAGTCGCTTAGTGGAAAATTGAAAGTATCCCTTCAAACGCTCCTTCGCCGGACTGGAAAAAAGAAATAATAAAAACAAATTAAAATCGGATCACAACCATATCTTGATGATGAATTGTTTCGTTACTTAACGATGAGAAATGTGGGGGGCTTTTCACGGGAGTCTGAGTTTCTCGCTCCAGCGATTGTAGACGGCATCTGAATAAGTGAAATAGACGGCTTCTGGGGAAATACCACCAGTCGTATTGAAGGCTGTACTTGAATTTGAACATTTGAATCATTGCACTGAATTCAACGCACTGAATATTTCTGAGAATTCGTTCGATTGATCGAATCCATTCCCAGGGAATTTTATCTTGGAATTACATGTTACACGCGGAGAAAAAAGTTGGAAAAATATTACCGGAAAAGTCGAGTTATCGTAGAGCGAACTCGATTTTCAGATCTTTTTCACCGTACACGGAGAGAAATGTTCATAAAAAATTATGAAACTCTCAATTCACTCACCGATTACGGAATTGACTCCGAAAATTTAAGTGACGGTATCGTAATTTTTCAGAGGAAATGCAGATAACAATTAGTTCCGTAAAATTTCCTACAACCACATTTCACTCCGGAATTACAGAAAAGGGACGTAATTTTGATTGAATATTTCTCTCCGTGTATATCGGAAAGAAGTGCGAGACGAATAGTGAATTTTTCTCCGTTGGACCGGGAAAATTTACTAAACGTGAGGGTAATTTATGCGTAAACTGTCAAATTTACTCTGTATTCCATAAAAAATTATCCCATTGAGCGTGAATAATTGTTGCATCCATAGATGTGTTCTTCTACCGAACGAATCGTAAAATATCCTCTACCAACAAATATTTTTTCATTGAATTACATTTTGCTCCACTTTGATAATGATCTAAATATTTAATAATATGGAACCATAAATTTTTTATCAAGTAAATAATACTAAATTTCTCATACGGGGTTACCGATTATCCAAATAATCGTCAATCTTCCTAACTAAATTACTGATTAATAAATAATTCGGAATTTGAATATTTAAATCGAAGATTACTTCAATAATAAAAATTTACGAGTGATATTAACGAATTGACTACTTAATAATTGAACGGTAATTATAATTTACCGATACAGCTATCGATCCCCGCCCTCATAAATGTATTTATCCCATCGTGCTTGAGTCTTGAATGATAATTCTAATTCTTGTGACCCATCAATCAATGACATTTCCTAACCACCGAAACCATCCTAAATACCCTTGGATTATCACCTCAAGAAACGCCTAAATTCTCTCGACACCACTATTTTGAAGGTCCTGCATGCCTCACCGCTCAAGAGTCACTCAATCCGCCACGAGTATTGATCCGCACTTGAAGTATGAATACATTGGTCGTTGGCATACCCAATTAACCGAGGAAATTGTTTGATTGCCGCCTCCACCCGAGGAAAAGCCAATGAATATTCCGCACCTTTGCGACTCTCTTCCTCGATAAAAACTCACAATCATTTCCTTGAGCAATTCCTTCGTGTCCTTCGCTCGCTCTTCAGTTGATCATTCTCCAGAGTAATATCGCATTAATTTGGAAACTCACAATGAGGTACTTATCTCACTGAAGCCATTCACAATGCTCAGTAGACTCAACGTGCGCTTCACCACGAGGCTGTGATTAATTTCCAGCGTTGGAGTAGAATAAAGGTTATATATGATAGAACACACCGTTTAATCTGCATTTGGCACCATCTCCAGCAGTATTATTTCGAATCTCTTTTGAAGTCCCTCTATTTCATTATATCAATCCCGTTAGCTATCGATTTGTTGTCAAATTTCTGAATGCATCTCTCGACCGTTTCCACTGCGCTGATTTAATTACGGAGAAATTGATTTGAGGCATCCGATGATGAGTTGCTGAAAGGATTAAGAGAAAGCAATCACTCATTTTCGAAGTAAGCTTCTAATATCACTTGGTTTCTTTGACAGCACATGTTTGTGAAGTTTTTCCCTTCAGGATTGAAGACCCTTATAGAACTGCAAACAGCCCCCGAAAAAGACTTTAGAAAGGGAGAAACCCATTCTTAACGTACTAGTGGCTATTTTTTTTATTCGATAGATATAGAGACGTAGATCAAATTTTTCTATTAGTATATTTCGTCATTAGGCCGAAAAACACTTTTCTGGCGAATATGAGATTTGTAGCACGAGCCGAAGGCGAGGGCTGCAATCATATTCTCAGAAAAATTTTTTTGGCCGTATGACGAACAATATTTTTTGTCATGATGGCCGTAGGCAGAGATTGCCCGTGAAACACTGCCTTACGGCCGGAAAGAAGGGCTCTCGGTATGCTTGAAATGCCGTTTTCATGGGGCGATTTCCTGGAATCCTTCAGATACATCATGTATATCAAGGTTTGCAAGATCCAAATACCGAATCCTTCAATTTCCCTTGAAATACGTAAAATTGCCCAGGGTTGTCTCTTCCAAACTAGTTTTCTGTCATCTAATTTCTGAATCCATCTCTCAATCATTTCCGATATGCGGATTTAATTACAGAGAGGATGATTGAGAAAAAAGCAATCACTCATCTTTGAATTAAGCTTCTAATATCATATGATTTTTTCTGACAGCACAAGTTTGTGAAGTTTTTCTTTTCAGGATTAGATACTCTGATGTATTAGGGGAAGTCTTGGAGAGAATAAAAGGGCTCTCGGTATGCTTGTCATGTAGTTCTCATCTGACGATTTCTTAGGAATCCTTCGAATATATCATGTATACCAAGGATATTCTCGGCTCCCAGATGTCTTTCCCCGTGTTTCCATCACTGTCAACCATTTTTGTTGAAACATCTAAACTGATACCTTTGAAGACCATCCATGCCTTCAGTGTTCCTTGGAATACATCAAATTGCCTAGAGTTATGTTTCCTATGAGTGTCAGAATACAACCGTGTCAACCAGTATTTCGCACCCCCATAAATCCTATCGTCCAGTATTTTCTCTTTAAGGGTTGGGTTAAAGTAGCGCAACCCATCTTAGTCCTCCTTCCCCACCTCACCCCAACGCTTGTCCTCCGTTCACTCTCATTCCAGCTGAAAGGGTCCGGTTGTCATGACAAGAACCCGCTGAAATAGCCACATTCACCAGGATGTTAACACGATATCAATCCACGTGGAGCGCAGATCGTTCACCTTTAATGAGTCTCAGAGACCCCTTAGCATATTCAGATTAATGATCTAACTTCCCCATCTAATCGAGACATTAAGGTGTTTCGTGTGCAAAGTGAAAGTCAAAATAATGATACAAAAATTGAAAAATTCACGGGAGAAATATCTGAGTGTCCTGAATCATTGGGAATTTCTTTGTATTTTTTCTGGGTCTCGAGCTCAAGAAAAACATAATGAACTATTGAAAAAAAACTAATGGATGATGTATCAATTCTTCTGGCACGTATAAGTTCCAGAATTTTTCTGGACTTCATAAGGAAGCTATTTGAAATAATGATATACGGCAAATTATTAGTTTCGGGGCAATTTCTATTCATTGAGACTGATATGTGGCAACTACGCCTTCACCGTGTGCGCAATTCGAATGTCAATATAATCGCTGGTGCATCATGGGAGAGGTATACACTCAGAGAAAAACAAACACGTTGTCAAACAAGTCTTGTTTGGGCCAACAAAATCGCTAGTCGAAAATTGCCAAAAAAGAAGTTGTTTGGTTCGAATTTGAAAGTCTCAAACATGAATAATTGTTCTGCTTTCGGCAGCAACGAAATATTTGGCTCAAGAGGCGGATAATTCACACCAGATGATGTCTTTTCAGGATGAAAATATCTCATATAGAGGAAAATTTATCAACAAATATTTATCCCTAAGTTACAAGATTGCTATCATATAATTATTATTGTTTCTTTTTTGATAATTTTCAAAAAACAATTTTTTTGGCACAAACAAGACTTGTTTGAGAACTTTGGCGTTTTTCTCTCAGTGTAGGTTAGACCATGGAATTGAGAGAGAAAACACTCCGCAGATTTACCAACTCGAAATGAATATAGGAATGATACGTATGGCATTGCCATGTCTCTGATGCATTTTAATATCGTTTCAATAATGAGAAAAATATTCAGCAAAAATAATTTGACACTCGTAAGTGATGGGAAAAAGTCAATCAGTCTGACGAAAAAAATCAATATTCAAGAAATGCTCAAATGCGCACTTAAGTAGTTACTCGAGGACAATGACTCCCCTTTAGTTTCACCCCCGGAGAGAAATGCCGCCGAAACACCTTAATAGGCAATATCGAATTATGGATCACTGCCACTGAAGTTGGGAGAAAAACAAATCGATCACACCCTCAAAGGATATTATTCCGGAGTGAACGGAATATTCACCCTTTCCCTGGGGTGAGAGAAACCAAGATGAAAAATCACCTCTCACTTGTCTCGTTTTCGGGGTGGCTGTATCAGCATGACCCGAGCCGCTAATTGCTAACCGTCTACTCTTATTCAGCGCTGAGGTCTTTGACGTTGAGTCGACGACCGGAGTCCCCTCTCACGTCTTATCGAAGGCGCCAGCTGAGGACGAGATTTCGGGAATGGGAGAAGCTACTCACTTGATGACATTGAATGGAAGTCCCACGGAGGTGATAAAAATCGTGTGGGTCAAGTGGATTTACATCCAGTGATGCATCCAGTGATTTCAAGCTGAGACATTGAGACGTGCATTTGCACGAGGATCTTTTGGTTCAAACTTATGACAAATTTATGCGTCCAATGTCTTAAATTTAGACGTCTCTAGGCACTTCGGGGAGAAAAAAGTTGAGTAGCTTCACCACTGCTTACAGTCCTCTCTATATTACAAAAATCGAAATCGACTTTTGGCGATAGAAAATTAAAGCGAAAAATTAAGACTCGAAACCAAGGGTCACACTTTCCACTGAAGCTTCAGGAAATCTCGTGATTGAAAATTCAAATATTAGATTGATTTGCAGTATTATCACTAGAATACTTAATTTTTCTGTTCAATTATTCCTTAAAAATTCAGGAAAATCAGAAAAATTCAAGGAAAAATTGAAAATTCGTGTCATTTTGGTTCTGAATATTCATGTTTCATTGACAATTCAATCCAGCTGCAAAATTTCTGTCTCATTTCCACTGAAAACTCGTGAATATCCTTGAATTCTAAGTAAAACTTGAAATTTCATAACAAGTTTCCCCCTAAATTGGATTTAAGGATAATCGGGCGAGGAGGAAAAGTAGGAGGTGAGGCGGAGGGGTTTCTATTGTTTTTCTGCAGAAAACCAATCGCTGAACAAAAAAATTTTTCCCAATCGGATTCAAAATTCAGACAATATTAGGGAGTATCTCCGGTTAAAATTTATTTTTGGAGCTAATGAAATTTATTTGTATCTGTTCCGCGCATTGAATGGTTTTCAGATTGTTTTTTTTTTTAATAAATGAAGAAATATTAATCCATGCGAAAAAGTGGCAACATCGTCGGTAGTTTTTTTTTCACCAGGAGCTGGTACCATTGGCTCGAGGGAGCTCCAATCACAACGCTTCATCGCTTTCTCTCAAGAGACGTTTAAATTGACCGCGCTACCCCCACCCGATAGGTACTTGAGACGTTGCTGCTCGTTTGGGCTGCGTGCGCAGAAATTTCATTTTTCAGTACTTTTTTCGCTATTATTAATAAGCAATGCTCCTAGGCGACAATCTTTTTCACTCAAAAAATCATTGATCACATGTTCTAAATGTGTCTAAAGTTTCATGACTTTGGCTGCATTTTTTCCTTGGGTTTTGCAGTTTTTTTTGTGATTTCCATAAGATCACGGGTTAAATGACCACTTTTTCAAAAATTCATAATAAATTAACCATGTTCCCCAGCAGTCTGAAACTTTACACACGCCTTTTCCATCATTTAAAGAATACGTAAAAAATAAAAGAGAAAAATGGCTGCTTTTTTTCTAACCCTCCGGGCTCGACCGATTATCCTTAATGTCACTTTCATGAGAATTACTACCAATTTTCTTATGAAATTTCAACAAGTTTTTAACAGTAAAAATTAACTAACGGTAAAAATTAGGGTCTGGATAAAGATGAGAAGTAAAGTCCGGAAAAGAATAAGATAAGGATGAGAATGAGGGTCAAAATAAGGGTCTTGGGAGGATCACATGAGGGCCATGTGATGTTCACATAGATTTTTGAAGGCGTTGACTGGACCCTTTTTCTACATGGAGAGAAATGTTCAGTAAAAATTACGCAACTCGCAATTCGCTCACCGATTACAGAATCGACTCAGAAAATTTAAGGGACGGTATCGTAATTTTTCACAGGAGATTTAGATAAAAATTACGGAACGCTCTAGAAAAATTCCGTGACAGTTCCGCGAAATTTCCTACAACCACATTTCACTCCGGAATTACGGAAAAGATACGTAATTTTTATTGAATATTTCTCTCCGTGTAAAAACAAACTAATCGCCCCTAATGGGTCGGATCATAAGAACCGTGGGGGGGTTAGCGAGCGGAGCGAGTAGGTGACGAAGCCCTTTATATATGTATAATCTCACCCATTAGTTTCAACGTGAAAAACCACGCAAACTCCCCCGAAGAAGCTTCAAGCCATAATAACCAGTTTTCCATCCATGACGTGCACATTGACCCGCGCCAACCGGTATATAACTCAGATGGCGTCTTGTTGACGGCATCCACGGCTCGTATAATCCACACAGGCAACTGAATGAGTAAACTGGTGGTATCGAAGCGTGAAAATTAACGGATAGTGACATCACGCCCGGTTAACCGCTCACAGATGCGTGCACGAGGCATAAGTATTGCCAGAACAAATGGATTGGACGGGGCAGTCTTGCGGAAATAGACAAGATGCCAGAGTCCATTTTCACTCCGCAAGTAAGACGGATTGAATATTCCATTTCGGCGTCGTTAATCATGGTGACATTCCGCGTTTGGCATTTCTTCATCTAATACGATGAGACGAACGTTTTCCGTCTTACCGGCATCCATTATTCATTGGCATGTGTTTTTCCATGCAAGTGGGTCAAACTGGGACTACTACTCTCTTTGGCTCAACCACTGTGGTGAACCGCTGTTGGTAGCCTACATCGTATTACTACAGCCGAAATCCTGGCTACATCTACTCTACTCTGAGGCTTTGGGATAATGGTGTGGAAGAGAAAAGCCACAGGCTATTATTGTGATGGCGGCAATACAAAGCAGCAGTTGCATTATGCTGCTCATTCGAGGATAGTGTTAAAAATTTTCAGCAAAAAGCATTGTTCAAAAAATTTGACTGAAGTTTTCGAAAAAAGATTTTGAATTTGATTTGAGGGGAAAATGGATTTTAATGGGTCAATGGAATTTTAAACTTCCCTGAAAATTCGAGTGAAGTCCCAATTTTTTCCATAATTCCATGAAAATCTGGAATTGAATGAGAGAATTCTCAGAATGTTCCTGATTTTTCATCAATATTCCCGGAACAATTAAACTGAAATTCAATTTCCATGGATTTTTCCATGGAATTATGAATTTTCAATGACAAAATTCCTCGAAATTTCAGTGGCAAATTTTCACACTTCGGGGAATTTTTTGTCGCATTATAGTTTCATTGGAAGTTCAGGGAATTTTGCACAGAGAAAAGTAAGTTTTTATTTTCAGAAGCAATTGAATCTAATCAATCTAATTTTCAGGCATTTATCAATTAATTGACATTTTAACGTGAATTGATACTGAGTACACATATTTTGATTGAAAATTCAAATAAGTTCGGGAATTCTCGTCCTCCTACAGCTAAAATTAGGAATTTCATAATTTTTCCCCCTAAATGTAATTAATTGAGAGATTATAACAATTTTCCAGGTACATATAAAGCTTCATGAGTTTGTTTTGACTGAAGAATCTATCGAAAAACATCCATTTCATATTCAAATTATTCTGAATGGCATTGAGAAAAATTTCCATGAAAAATAATACAGAAGCTGCATAAACACAGTGCCCATGACTCCCTCTTCAAGAGGGGGATCATGAGGGACTTTATCTGAAGAAAATAAATGTGAGAGACCGTATACCTAAACCATCAGAAATGCTTCGGGAGGGTTCAGTTATAGATTATTTCAAAGTTGCACGTGGAAGGAAGAGAAATCGTCGGAAAAAGAAACGTGAATAAGAGTGAAATTTCCCTAGGCGCTTGATATCTTGCTTTTGTAAATCGCAGTTCTTCTATTCTGCAATGACTGATATTGATCACGTGCGTCATCGCAAGTGAGAAAGGTCACTTGTGTTACTGGAGGTGAGAAGTTGACTTTTTTTTCTCCTTTGTTCATTCAAGTTCAAATAGGGATCCATGTGTGAAGTATTTTGAGACGCTGGAAACGTGATATAAATGGAATTCGAGTCGTCGGTGGCCGGACAAAGGCGAGTGGACGGTGAACAATTTCAGGCGTTATCCGTGATTTTTGACAAAAGAACTGAGAATTCGAGTGATTTCTGTCTATGGACTATCAATGGCGCGAACGGGGAACGGTTTATTCCGGAGGAGATACTTTGAGATTGACGCGCAATGTTGGGGCGGCGTGCGTGAAATGTCGGAATGCGGAATAAATCATGCGCTCCAGCGAATTTGAAAGAATAGTTTTAGGTTTTTTTACTCACCGACTCATCTGCCAGGAGGCGTACAACATTGGGGTTGTGACGGTTGATGCAAATCCCAACCAAACAAACATGGTGAAGGTTATGTCAAAGTGACCGGTATTTTCGTAAGTCTCGATGAGAGCAGGCTTCGCCAATCTGGAAGAATAACAAGAGGGAAGTATTAAGCATCGGAGGTTTGAAGGAGAAAAATTCAGTGGAAAAACTAGTGTCTTCATGACATTTTAATATAAGACTTAGACACAACGTGAGAATTGAAATTTTGAATGTCTTAAAAGAAGACGTTTGAAGGACAAGACATTTTCGTAATGTTTTGCATTAAAAGTCACTAAATAAGGATATCCAAGTACTTTGGCTATTTTTTACCCAGCGAAATGCTTTTATTATTGAAAACAATTATTTTATTATTTAAACTTTGCTGGTGTCGATTTGAACCTCGATATTGAACCATTAGAACATTTTAAAAATCTGAAAAAAATAGAAAGCTTACTTTGGAGGAAGATGAAGTAATTTGAAAATTGCAATTTTTGAAAATTACTAGCATTTTCTATAAATAATTTATAAACAAATTTAACAATATAATTTTAACAAATTTATTCATATTCATAATTTGACCATAAATCAATTTCACGCCTAAAAAAATTAAGTTTCCTAAAGTTTAAACAATTTCAATTATTGATTTATAAACAGCCAATGTTTAAAATAATAATAATTCTATGCAAAATTTAATTTAAATGACGCTGGATATTTATAAATGGAATCATAAGACGTTTTTAGTGACCCATTTGGACACGAACGTTTAAAAAAAGGGGAAAAAAACCGGCGATCTTTCTCCATTTCCTTTCTTCCCTCGTGGTTTCATAAAGCTTTTCGTGGCAGAGTCCACACGAAGAAGTATTTTTCACTCAAAACTTGGGGATTGGGGGGACGAGAAGCTAATAAAAGAGGGAAAATTGGGGGACATTGTCATTCCAAGGCGCCTCCACGAAATACTTCCATAGCCTCTCGCAAGTTATGCCTCTGTTCTGTTCTATTTTGTTTTGTTTGACTTGTCGGGAGCTTATTTTTCAGGGTAAGAGGCCTCGTTGTTCCGAAAACTTCTGAAGGATAAGTGACTCTTTCAAAACTTTCCCACCCGCAATGAGTAGGCTCGCAGGACACTCCCCCGCCTCTGCGGGCACGAATTTTCTTTTATGACTGCCACTACACTTGTTCCACTCTCGCGACTAAAAAAAATCCGGGAAAGTTCCTTTCGCTGTTGGGGAGAAATTCGGATTCTGCAATGAATGGATCACTCGGGCATTCAGACCCTAGGGCTCTGTCATGACAATGAGTTAGATTTTATCAATGTAATTTTCCTTTGAACCGACTATTATTTGATTTCACGAAAATTCAAGGCCATTCTATTTGTCGCAATAATGAACACATTTTATTCCTTTCTATACGAAGAGAAAAGTCAACTATTTAAAGACAAAAATACTTCTATTTAGTGAATGTGATGTTGAAACATTGAAATTTGGAGTCAAGTGCACGGAGGGAAAAATTCAATAAAAATTACCAGAAAAAAATGTAAAAATTACGTTTTGAAACGTAATCCGCGAGCGAAGTAAAATTCAATAAAAAGTGTGAGTCGGAACGGAAATTGTAGGAATGGCCACGTAAATTTTACGATTTGTTCCGTAAAAATTAACCACACGTCTGATAACTCACCGCTGTGGAGACAACAAGTCGTTCCGTAATTTTTCCCCAACGATTGAGAAATTTTACGAAACGGAACGTAGAAATAACTCACCATCTGCATAAAAATTGTTGAACCCTCAAGAATTTTTTATTTTGACGGCATAATAAGTCGGGAAGTTTCTGTAAGATTTTACTTCTTCGGGAAAAATTAAGTGACAATTTCGTACTTTGTTCGATGACAAACCTGAAAAGTCACTGAATGTTTGNAAAAGTTTTTTTTTTCAAATTTTCAAAGTGTCAGATTTTCGGTTTTTCCCGGGGAAGGTGGACTTTCGCCGNTTGACGGCATAATAAGTCGGGAAGTTTCTGTAAGATTTTACTTCTTCGGGAAAAATTAAGTGACAATTTCGTACTTTGTTCGATGACAAACCTGAAAAGTCACTGAATGTTTGAGATTTCTTCTCTTCCATTCCTATAAAAATTGCCAGAAAACGATTCCCCATTGCCGATTACGGGAATTGTTCGGTAATTTTTACTGAATATTTCTGAATATTTCTCCGTGTGGTCATGAGAATCTTCGAGGGAAGTTCAAATTTGATAAAACATGCATAAATAGTTTTTTACTTTTTATCTCAACAATATGTTTTCTCAACAATATTTAAAGCACCCGAGTCGAGGATTTGGTTCTGATTGGACGTACACAGGTCTTTCAAGATCTCTCCAGACCTAGATGGACCTGGTAAGTCCGAATCAGTTCTGCGACGTACTTTTCCAGAGACCATTCGAATCCTCAGTTCTTTTCGGTCCTGAGAAGCCCTCCTCGANATTTCTCGACCCGCTCTTTCATTTGAGCCCAAAAAAACATTGATATCTTGTCTGACATCGCTGCTACAAACTCGGGTCTACAACTCGGGCTTTCAATTAAAAACCCGAGTTGAAGACCCGAGTTTGTAGCAAAGATGTCAGACAAGATATGAATGTTTTTTT